GGCGGGTTTTGGGGGCTCCGGGGGCAGGGACAGACCCCGAGGTGTGGCTTTGGGGGGCTCTGGGTCACGGAGAGAGCTCGAGGGGTGGTTTTCAGGGCTCTGGGCCTGTAGAGAGACCCTGAGAGATGGTTTGGGGGACACGGTGGGGGGCTGTGAGGACAGAACCCTGAGGGGTGTTTTGGGGGGACACTGGGTGGGTGGAGAGACCCTGAGGATAGGTTTGGGGGGCTCTGGGGGCACGGAGAGATCTTCTGAGGTGGTTTTGGGGATATCGATGGGGTGGCAGGGACCCTGAGGGGCATTTTGGGGATCTGTGGAGACCGATGGACCCCGGGGGGTTCCTGGGGGTGCCTCGGCGCTAACACTGCCCTCCCCAGACCCACTGCCCTATGAGGGGCCGGGGGTGGAGATGCTGCTGCCGGCCCCCCAGGACGGGGACACTGGCTTTGTCCTCACCCTGCATAACCGCTTCTCGGGGCTGGCCCGTGTGCTCCAGCTCCTGCTCAGGTACTGGCCCCCCCTCCCAGTTCCCGGCCACCATCCCAGCCCCCCAGCTGTGTCGCCTGGACCCCCGGCCTCCCCTGACCCCTCTTTCCCTGGCAGCAAAGAGTTCGTGGCACCCGTCACCGTCCCCGTCCAGGACGTTTTGGACCTCATCTGCCGTGCCCTGAACATCACCAGCAAGAACATAGTGAGTGCAGCGGGGGATTGTCCGGGGCAGCTGAGCCCCAAGCTGTGTCCTTGGGGCTGGGGCAGTGGGGGCTGAGGTCCCCCCGCTGCACTCCTGTGGCCTCAGGGCTGCGTTCAGGGGTGCAGGCGGGACACCTCGGATTCCAGCCTTGTTCTGTCCCCCCAGAACTGGTTTGGGGATGGTCCTCTGAAGATGCTGCTGTTGCCGTCTGTCCACCTAGACATGCTAGATGTGCTCTCCTCCCTCATCCTGGCGTGAGTCTGGGGGAGTTTGGGGGTGCCTAAGGATGCAGGGGATTGAGCTAGAATGGAACTGGGATGCACTGAGGGGGGGAACTGTGGGGCTTTTGGGGGTACTGGGGATACTTAGGGCTCTGCTGGGAGGGAACTGATGGGAACTGGGGGCTTTTGGGGGCTTGGGGAGGCACTGGAGCTGTGCTGGGGGGGACTGGGGACCCTGGACCTGTATGTGGAGGGAACTGGGGTGAACTGAGAGGGAACTGGGGGTGCTCGGGGGACACTGGGAAC